ATTATGCATTGAAGTGCAGCTGTATGACATTTTTGGAAAGTCACTGTATGATGTTGACGTCATATGAAAACAAATGAGGAAAAAAGCACCAGAGTCAAGCTTACTCACAATAATGGGCAGTTGTAAATAGTCCTCAACATGTGAATAAATCACAGTCATTTGCAGCTCTAGAAAATGAGTGCTGAATTTTTCCTAGATACACAATATCATTAAACTTACTCTAAATACATTTTATTAATGTGTGTGAATGTTTTCTAACACATCAGAGCCAATTTATTAAGCAGTCATACCGCGTTTATGTTCTTGGGGGAAAAGTTACAGGGAGGAGGACTGCCTGATCACATGACCCATCAAAGTCATGAGACCAGCTTCTCTTTTTATAATGGAGTGTTCTCTGCAGTATTATGCAGTACTCTACTGTACGATGCTGCAGGCTCCACACTGTGGCCTGTATTTTAAGAATCATTCATAAAAAAAGGTGCTGTGTGCAGTAAACACTGCAGTCCAGCAGAGCATAGATGAATGGATATCAGTTTTACATTTTAAAAGGTCCTTTAGTTTGTATGTATATTGGAAAATATATATCCAAAAGCATCTATCCTCATTACATATGCAGGCTGTGCTTCATAATTAGTAGTACTGAAATATATTTTTGGGCCTCAGTGTACCCTCCTCTTAATGCTAGTCTACGCATGTGGTTTAACCTGTAATCTCAACAGCTATTCTACAATGTAGGCTAAGCAGCACGCATGCTTTCCACAAGAGAAAGAGTTGTCCTGCAATTATATTGGTGTTATGTCAGGTAGTCACTTTATATACTGTACATAGTGCTCGGTAGTGTTTGATCAATAAGCCTGTTACATATTGAAAGGTAGCACATAGTTAAATTAATCCATCAATCTCCTCACTCATGTGCACAAAACTGAAATTGCTCATACAATTAAGTTGGTAATACACATTGCATATCGCAGATAATCACCACAAAATGAGAAATCTACCACCCATGACTCTGATCGACCAACAGAATTCAGTCAATTGTGAAGTCAAATCTAGGCAATAGACTGACAGCTTTATTTAGTTTATTGAATCGATCGAATAGAAAACAGAAAAATAAGCCCATTTTACCAAAAGTGATCTGATTTTGTCCACTGGGTTTGATTGGATAAATTCATATCCTTGTGGTCAATCAAAGCCACCATTTCATGTCTTTGATTGTTTTGCAATTTTGAAAAAAAATGGAAAGACCATTAGACCGCTCTATTAAATTGCCATGTGTATGGCCAGCTTAAGACCTAGGCTCTAATCTCATCAACATACATAAACCTGTAAAGTAAAGGTTTAAGCGTGAATGCCTGAACTGGTTACTAATGGGGCGATACAAACTGTGTTGAAATTGTAGTAAAAGCCAGCAGTAATTCAAAACTAGAACTTAAAAGCTTCAAATGATTGAACAATTTGGTTCAGTCACCTTTACCCTGCTCATACATCTACTATTCCATGCATGTTTCATGATCCACAATTACTACCCATGAGGGAGTACAGTAGATTTATTTTACTCTATCATTAGAAATGAACACACAATTGTTAGAAACGAACACACAATTGTGTGAGACATTTCCACCCACCAGATCTCTTGTCAGTGACGATTTCCCAAGGTTTCCCACTACAATGCTTTGCACCCTGTAATGGTAAAGTCACTGGACAGCACCAGGACAATCTGTATGTGAGATAAGTTGATGCAAAAAAAGGGTAAAGCAAATTGGGACAATATACCGTGTAGGTTTTTTTTTTTAAATTATGCCATGCCAGAAAATGTAACCCCGTACTCTGAAGGTCTGGTTTTTGGATATGCTCTATCTGTACTATGGTGTAAAACTCATTAATCAGCTCCCCCACCACCACCATCCAGATAAGAGGTGCTTATTTAAAGCACCTAATACAAATAAACAAGTGAAAAGGCAAAGTGCAATATTATTTATTAGGCTTGGCACACACAATAATTTACAGTTAGAGGTGCACCAAAATGGAAATTTTAAAACCGAAACGAAACAAAAAAAAATCTCAGGCCGAAACCGAAACTGTTTTTATTTTTTTCAATTTTTTAAAATATTTTATTTTTTATAAACTTTTTAAATTTTTATATTAATTTATATTTATCAATTCATTTTTTATTAAATATTTTTATTTTTTACTTTACTTTTAGGGGCTTCGGGGAAATATTAGGGGTCTAAACAGATCCCTGATATTTCCCTTTTAAAATAGAAAAAGAGATTGAGAACACAAAGTCCTCAATCTCTTTTTCTGTGTCCCCTGTTATCAATGAACAGGAATCCTATATGAGTGTTCCTGTTCATTGATAACACGAGAACATTGTTTGTTTACTATAACCACAATTATGAATGAATGGGGGTGATGTAGATCACTCCCATTCATTCATAATTGAGGATATAGTTAACATAACATATCCTCAATTATGTACACACACTCAGCGATCGATATGTACACACACTCACTAATCGATGAGTGTGTGTACCTTGCTTTTCTCTCTGACACGCTGTCACAGGAGGCTGATCGAGCGGTGTAGAGAGGAAAGCCCAGCCTCCTGTGACAGCGCTGTCTCCGCCCCCACACCACTCTGCTGGACTGTGATAGGCGGCTGAGCGGTGTGGGAGAAGCGACTCCAGCCGCTCACAGCACTCTTGTCCTGCAGCGCTCGGCCGGCTGTCACTTTCTTTTCTCCAGGGATGCGCCGATGTATCGGCCAAAACATGGCTCTTTCGGCATTATGCCAAAAGTGCCATTTTCGGCCGATATATTGGTGCATCCCTATTTACAGTAAAACAAAATGTAGAAGTAAATGACCATGGTAGTATCCTTTTACAGCTACATGGCCTGCATGACTTACAAGACCAGCAGAGGGGCTGAAAGTATGCTTAGGAGAATGGTAACTCAGTGGTATCAAGATCTGCCTATGCTGCTTATGCATTCCAGGACCCTGCCCACCTTATAATTGTGCACTGATGCCAAACTTTACTTAAACTTATAATTTAGCCTAATAGAAGTGCACTGCACGTGCTTGCTTCACTCATACTGCACAGAACATATTTGTTTTTGAATCCCTGTCATCCCTGTTAATCAAGCCACAACGGTAGATATAAAAAACAAGATAAAAGGTTAAATGAAAAATCAAATTTGACACATGCTGAATGCTCGGACTACAATCTAAATAAGGCGCATTTTCTATGAAATATGATCCAATATGGCTCCTAGTATCATTAAAACAAAGCCATTATATATGGTGGAAAATGTCTTCATTTGAACTATCAAAATGCAATGTGTATGATGTTATCTTACTATCGAGGCTAGGTTGCCCATAATTGCACTTGTGGGCCAGGGCCTAGGGAAGGAAG